ACATCCAACTGAGAATTAAGCGTGAATTGAAGCACATCAACTAAGTAACGATACAAAGTATCTACGGACTGGATCGTGGCACGAAACGTGATCGATCGTATTTCTTTTACGACCATTTGATTTCCTTCCCTGAAACGTGAATCACGAGACGCTACTTGTATTCACGGAACACCCATCTGCATTCGCGCGCAACGTCGTTTAATTATGCGACGTCTACCGTCCTAGCAATTCATACAGACGCATACACGTCCCTGCATTTGTCTAGATTGTTGGTGTTCGCGGTTGGTGTTCGTGGCTGTGGGCGAAAGAATGAACTTTCTCGTGCGTAACAACACGCAGATCAACCGACCGATTACTTAATGCACTTACGAATATTACTCATGACGTTCCTCGTTCGATTGTAACCGCGCGTGGGTTTGCCAACTGGCGCCTCTCTCCTACAAACAAGAACTCCGAACAATCGAGCGCAACTGTGCGATGGATTCCAATCGTCATCGATCGTAACTGAATTACGAATAGGATCCTTCAATCGTATTCGTTTCGTATCGAATAATCAATCGAACCTCGAGCTTCGTTCATTGAATTGTCGTTCAAATGCAATTTGAAGAAAGTCAAACAAAATGCGTTTGTGCAGCTTTTTTATGTATTTCTATGAACGTTGTATCATTATAGAAAACTCGGTATATAAAAGTTACGTCGTCGGTTATTAAAGTTGATAATCATAATGATGTTATAATGTTATTATACTGTAATGTTACAATAAGTTTCCACAAGTATGCAAGTATGTAAGTTTTTATACATTTGACCATTTGACTACAATAAATTTTTACACAAACATCTCTAGTATTTAGTTACAGTTTTGCAATATCCCATTGTTTTACACGCGACAAATATTTCTATTTTTTTTTTTTTTTATTTTTATTTCTATTTTTCTCAAAAAAATATTTTTATTTTCTTTTTATTTTTACCTTTATTTTTCTCAAAAATAATTTATTTATTTTTTTCACATTTCTCCTGAGACACCCTGTATGTAACGTGGACATTTCAGTAAATAAACTAAACGAGAAAACAAGTGCAACTTAATGGACTGAGCTCGTAGTTCAGTTGGAATGATACATACATACATGTTTCATCCGCTGTTATATAGCATTGTTACAATATGTTACAGATATCGCAATATTCGCGATGATGGTTATAACCGTTCAACCGTCATTTGAATTTTGACCTCTACGCGTGTAAGAGTATGCAAAATATTTATGAGGGCACGCATGGCTTGGTATACGGTATAGTGTCCCAGAGGATGATGGGGAACGTGAGTTATACGTGAGCAAGGGCCATGATACCGTGACGAGCTACAGCTGGTCGTCAGGTGTGCCCTAAGATTCTATTGAAAGTTGGTCGCAAATAAACAGTTTGTTGTAATTTCGAATATTCTCGCTTTAAGGGTATTCTATTCGTTCGGTTTTTTCCCTGTTTTTTTTTTTATTTACTGTTGATCAGAGCACGCTTGCCATTTCGTGTTTGTGTTAAGTAGATAAATAACAGACAAGCAGTACAGCGTTTTCTTAGAGTGAAATCTTTGTAACTAATATTATATTATGTATATAATTTACATTAAATTAATGTATATAATAAAATAAATATAAGAATAATCGAATAACATCAACGAAATATCAATATGAAATTGATTAATTCAACATTAACTATGAACTAATGAAAAATGAAAATTATAGATTCGATTGGAGAAAAAAAAATTGATCCATAAATTCATATCATTAGACAAAAATATAATATAAATTTATATTCAGTTATTTGAGAATATAGAGAATAATAATAATAATACAGAATAATAGAAAAATGTAATCCTATGATAATTGTATATAATAACATTTTTTATCTTTTGATAAGATTATTATTCAAGAAATATAAATGACTCAAAATAATGACTCTGTAATAATAATATTACAGAATAACAGAAAAATATTACTATTATTATATTACAGAATAATAGAAAAATATCATTATTATTATAT